GAGCTTCAGAAAGTTTGCCACAAAGATTATGGCGATGTTTGGTTCCACATATGTCTGTGAGCAGTTATTTTCATTTATGAAGGCCACAAAAACATCTCACAGAATCAGATTAACTGATGAACATTTGTCATCTTTGATCAAACTGTGATCTACACAGACATATATATATATATATATATATATATATATATATATATATATATATATATATCGAGAATAGTTTGTCTAAATCAATGTTAATCATCAGGACAACATAAAAATGATTAAATTGTACTACTTTGTATTTTAAGTATTTTGTATTTAAAGTTTAGTTACCACTAGCTGTGATTAATGTAAGACTGTAAGCAGGTATGGACCTCGAGGCTGCAGATATGGCCGATGTGACCCTCCATATGCTCTGATTGGACATGCCTGGTCTCTATAGCATAATTAGCTGTAAGTATTTTGCTATATAGGTACATGGTACTTACAGTCAGTGAGGTTTGCACTACAAGATTACTTACTACCTTTGAGCTAAGGTGAAGTGAGGTGGTCAACTACCATCTATGAATGTCTTTGTTACCCATGGTGTGAGTCTGGACATTGGTTGAAGCACATCTTGCTCTAATCTCTTTTCTGGGCAGGATTGGTATCTAACTGTGGCAAGGGCATTATCTCACCTCACTTATCTGCTCACTAGGTGGAGTGTTCTATCTGAAACCCTACATATTTATATAAGTTCATATGCATGTGTCTGAATAGTTAGAATGTTTGCTTTACAACAATGAGATCTGGGATTTGAATCTCAACGTGGTCAATTTATCATTTCTTCATGTTATAAACCTGTGGATGCTATCACAGTGTGCAGCATCTTTTGAAACGTATCTGAAAAACATATCACAGGCTGACCCAAGACTTGAGAGTGAAATTGGGTAGATGGAACTGTTTGAGGTAGGTGATGGTTGTGCTAGCACAAAGCCACAAATCATTGTGAACAAGTGTTTGAGTGAACTGGCCTTATTCAAACTGTTGATCATGCCAGATGATGCTCTCTCTCCCTGTAACTAAGGTCTGCTCATCATAGTTACAATATGTGAGCTCTGTGGGTGTTGAACAAACACAAATGTTCCTGAGTAAGTATCTGCAACAAGCATTGGCTAACCATCATAGCAAACTGGTATACTCAGAAATGAGTAGCCAGCCATTATAAACATTATGGGAAGCAAACTGATAACCCAACCTCAAATAAAATTATTGTTGATTGAAGTTCACAAAAGGGTTCATATCTGAAATGACAAATGATTTTCAGTATATTTTTTTGTGTTTTATAAAGAAGTGTTCATGACAAGAATTGTCCTGCATTTCTTCTGGTGATTTAGGCTAGAAATTGAGTCATTAGATTTTAAATCATTTCTAATATTTCCTTATTACTGAAGTGTGTTTTTGCAGAGTATTGATGAGTTATTTAATATTTTTGTTGTAAATTCTTACAGAACAAAGAAAATGTATAAATTCACTTTTATATGTTAGGGTTTTTATTAAAATTCTAATCATGGCTTTTTAAAACATTGCCAAGGAGTGAAGGTAGTGCAAAATAATAGCAATGTCAAGGGAAAAACCATTGTCTTGACAAACTGTTTTATTGTCAAATTATTTTATTCATAAATTTATAAAAATGTTTGCAAACAAGAAAATTTAAGTAAACACATAACAAGTAACTGTAATTACAGATTTTGAAAAAATGCATTTCTGTGCACTTCTTTCATTTGCTCTTGCAACAAAAATTAAAACAAGAAGTAATCTGAAATATTGATAAAAATTGTTTTTTCTCATAGTAAATTTCAGTTTTTGGTAGTTTGGGGGGAAGGGATGAAGGTAATAAAGTAATTTATTGAAACCTGAACCTTGCTAGATTGAGTGCAAAGCTCATTGACCAAGGAGTGTGGCACGGGGGGGGGGGTCAATTGAAGGTGAAGGAAAGGGAAAGAAAAACAGAAGTGTTTTTTCTACTACAATAAATTGTTTTGATAAACATCATTTTTTAACCAATGGCTAGTTGAGGGTTGAAATCTGAAATACTTGTGTTGACCACCAAAATTTCTCAGGTAAATCAGAGTGGATCTTTGACTATAAAAGTCCCTGCAATACGACCATCGCCAGCAGTGGGTGACTGGGGAGTAGTAGACACAACTACCAAAGGTATGCAACAGATACCAAGAAGTGGGTGATGCAACACTCTCCAAAACATCTAAAACCTCTCTCCAAGTGTGGACTCAAAGATGCAGCCATGATACCTCTCCTCAATGAAGTCTTCACAAGCAAATTGCTGTTTTCACAATAGAATTGTCTCATTTTCACCCTGACTATTGTAACAAAATAGTCATTTCCATGACAGAGAACAAGTACTATTCTCAAAACAACGCTCTAGGTTGAAAACTCTGAAGGCACAAACGGATTCTGTCACAAACTTTGACAACTCACATTAAATCACAAGAACTATTAAGAACATTTACATTTTATACCTTCAAGGTAAATATACCCTTTTAACTGTGTTCAATCTCACTAAAAGCCTTTTATTGTACCTTCTTTCTTATCATTTGAATTGTTTTGTATACATTGTTTTTGTATATGCTGGCATTTTTCTTGTGATATTTTATGTTATTTGATTGATATTGATTGTAAACTTGATCTTTTTCCTTACAACTACCATTGAGCCTTATTTTAGAAAAAATAAGTTACTTATCCAGGTGTACAAACCACCAAATTTGTGCACCTCCAATATTTAGTAAAATTTTCCTATATTTTAATAAAAGTGTCCTGGTTTTATCTCTCACTGAATATTTCTCATATGTTTTTATGGTGCAACTTGTTGTCACTTGATCTCCATTCTCTCCAATCTCTTTTAACTGAATCCCACAGAAAACATACAATACCTTTTTTTAATAATATAAAATAATATCAGAAGAAAATGTATAAAGTACAGAAAAATCATATAATCATTTAAATTTTCCTGTTCGATAATTTATAGATATTTTTATAAATTTAAGAATAAAAAATTGTTTCCATAGTTATTATTTATAAAATGGTAAATAACAAATATTGCATTATTGTTGGTTTGTATATTTTTATAATTTTTGAATAAATAGATTTGTTTCCATATTTAATTCTTTATAAAATGGTAATTAAAAAATTGTACTTGTTTCACATATTTTTATAATCTTGTAAACAAACATTGCTGAGGGAGTAATAGCAGCATCAACAAAAAAATGTTCTTTTGATATGTAGGGATATTATTATTACCATCTTATTACTATACAAAACTCTGTGAACTTTGTAGCATGTGTGTTTGCCAGAAGTCATATAGAGAGTGGGAAAAGAAAGATATAAACAAGTCATATATAGAGAGTTGGGAAAAGAAAGATGTAAATTTATTGTGTAGGTAGTGGAGGATGGAGTAAATTATCTTATGAGATTGTGTATAAAACACAAAAAATCCAGCCCCAAACAGGATACAGCTGTCATCAAGGTCCATACCACTCTTGCTTGTGAACTTCACAACCTCATGCTAAAAGTGACAGTGCTGACAAACTTCAAAGACTCTGCTTCAGACTATGGCAACACCATCCACAGTAAGTAACAAATTCTATCTCTTGTATCCTCTTTATTATGAACCACGCATGTGTTGACTTTTTCACACAACACATGTTGTATAAAATTAAATAAAAAATAAAAATAATAAAAATACTCCCAGCATGCAACAAAAACTGTTCCTGCTGGAAATATGGACATCCCACCAAAAAACGTAAAATTCAATCTCTTCACCACAAACCTTGGGACAGGTAACACATGTCCAACTTCTCTCTGTGATATGGCATGTACTAACACAGAGTAATTTCTCCCTTTTATCACACAACAAAACAATTGTAACACACACCAATACACATAAAAATATAAATAATATAAAATTAACATACAATTTATTATGCTTTTTCTGTTATTTCTGTACATTTTATTTCCTGTCAAGTATACTTTTATCTCCATGAACACAAAGCTAATTTCTGCTATGATATGAGTGAACCCCCACAGATGCACTATATATGTAGGTTTAACATTGCCAAAGAGAAAATATATGTACAATATAGCTGAAAAGTGTAAGAAAAACGTTTATAGAGTTTGCAGTAGTGTGTGTGTGTGGGGGGGGGGTTGAGTGCATGCAGGAGATGCACCATATGACCAGGTGACTAAGCCCCCGCCCCCGAAGTGAAAACTAGATAAGTCTTTTACCTACCGCATTCTAGAATGAAAAGCAGAAGGAAGAGCTTGTGTCTTTCCTTTTATAGTCCTGAGCAACATCACCTAACAGCTATCTTGTCAGACCAGATGGGGTACTCCCCATTTAAAATTTCTGTACTGTCATTTACTTTTGGTATAAATTTATATTTGTAATAAAATAGGATAAAATTAAAACTGTCCTCAATGTAATGTAAAGCAATGCTAAACAAAATCATATTTTTTTTAGGATATAGTTAGTGAACTGGTTCATCATGGAGTTCCAGGAGAAGGTTTGTGACAGACTAAAAAGATGTGCTTATTGACGAATGCTGTTGCTTGTAATCAAAAATTTCATTTTAATAATTTAAAAATAAAGAAATAAATATTTGTATTAGGTTCGTTACCTCAGCTACCAACGATTTACGAGCTTTTTGTATTTTTTTTTTTTTTACAGATATGTTTTTTCTCCGATATAAAATCAAAAAATTAACAAAAAAACATTAACAAAATATGGCACAAATATTTAATAATAATAATTGAACTGTGCCGCACAATTCAATGCTTGAGCCAGGGCAACTTCCGCTGTTGATTGTTTTGTTGTTTTCGAAATTTGGCGCGAAAATATTTTCAGCGTGTACGCGAAATATTTGTCAAAGGAAGATATCTGTAGATGTTAAAGACAAAAAGTGAACAAACTTTTGTTAGCAACTTTTAAATTAATATTCTTACAGAGAATCAAACCAAAAAACATGAATTCATTAAACCAACAAAGTTTCAACGATTCAAACGTTGATTATGATGAAGACAGCGAGGAGGAAGCAGAAGCTCTAACAGCTGCTGAAGTTTTTGCTAAACTTGAAGAGGTAAGTAAACATTAGAAACTGTAAACTAAACACGTTTAACAAACCAAAATTTAATAAAGAAATTTGTTATTCAGTAAATTTTTAGCATTATGTGTACTGTGATAAACTTTTCTTACGAAACCTTTTTCTATAATAAACTTAATAAACATCTCTATTTTTATCACTTTGTTTTGTTTACTTGGAAAATCTTTGTGCATTTTTAATGAAAATAAAAAACTGATTTTGTGCGTCAACCTTGAAAAAGTAACCTGAAATGAAAACTGGACAATTTTTAATTTTTCAATGCTTTCCTTATGTTTATTTTATGAAAAAGAAATTAGAAAAGTATTAGTAAGTAATCGTCAACATTCGCCTATGCTTGATTTAAATTTTTTAAAAATGTAGCAGTAGTAATTTATCAGTTTTGTTTGCTAGTGAATTCGTTCCTAGACGAGAGTCAATGAATCCTACATTATTTTTTTATCATAAATTAAAAATTGCCGTACTGTCGTTGATTTCGATTTTATTTTAGCAAGACTGATTCTCTGTGTTAAAAGTTAAAATGAAAAAGGTTAAAAAAATTTAACCTCTCTTAGACCTTGTTCTCCTTGTTCATTTGTAAAATTTGTCTCCAGTGGTTGTTTGTTTTTTTTTTTGTTAATAATTTTTTTTCAATCATCAAACTTAAACAATTATAATAAATTTTTTCTCGTTTAAAAGGCATAATAAAAAATCTACTTCCTTTTTTTTTATCTTTCTACGTGTACTTTTTTTTTTTTAAATAGTTGAGGGTGGGGATGAAATGAAAGTTTTACTCACAGTACTCTTGAGGCATGATCCAGCTAATTAAATAACCACGTTTTTTGGGGGCGTGGGGGTCCCAGCATTATGGACCACACTAGAATTAGGGGGTATTTATTTCCTTCTTTTTTTTTTTTTGTTTTTTTGACATCTCCACGTAGGAAGGAAGTCGACACGCAATTAACCTTGATCGAAAGAAAAAGAAACACCGTAGGTTGCGCTTGACATTAAAAAAAAAAAACAAACAGTTTTCACGCATTTTTAATATTTATATCACAATTTATACCTGAACTTCGTGACGTAAAGTTATGAAAATTTTATAAAACTTACAATGACACGTTTCGGTTTGTTTTTATTTTAGTTTACAATTCGTTTTTAGTAGTAAATGTAATCGTGGTACTTTTTAGTTTTTAATTTGCACTTTTTAAAGCAATTTTGTAAAAGTTTCTTTTCAGTTTATCTGATTTGCCTTATTTTTTATTTTTGGAATCGACCACCTCTACAAAGAATAATACTAATTCTAATTAAGATTACTATTCATTTTTAGTTTCAGTAGGCGATAGAGTTATATCCCTTCGTTTCTTTTCATCTGTAATGTATCATTCCTCATGTGTTATGTCCCTTCAGGATGTGGTCTATCATGATTTTCAACAGATTCCTGTCTGTTATTGCTCTAAGGAAATTCTTGTTCCTTTACAATCCTTCTCCTTCACTGTGATACTTGTTCTGTCATCCATTTACTCAAGTTTATCACCATTTTCCCCTGTTTCTCTTCTCTTCAATGTTCTCTGTGAGTTAAATTTCCCAAAACTTCTTTCCTCATTCTGTGCCCCAAAATTTAGCAATTTCATTCTAATAGCTCCAGTTTTTTGTAGTTCTTATTCTAAAAACTTCTTGTTTCTCACATGCTCTGCTCATGATATTCTTAATATTAATCAGTAGAACCACATTTCTATCTTCATCTGTAAAGAAATTATCAAGCATTCATTATCATATAGCAGTCCAGCATTATGTTTTTTATTTCCTTTTTTAAGGGTGATTTTCAACTCTTACCCAGTTTCTAAAAAGTATCATTTTCCATTCCTATGCACCTTTGAATTTTTTGTCACATGTCATTTTTACACAACTATCTAATTTTTTTTCCTGATTTTGACATCCTGAAGATATAGCTCACATTTTGAATATCCTCTCCATGTAGATCAAGCTTTTCAGTTTTATTTTCATGCACATTTATTAAAATTCATTTACATTCTCATGGCAAATTATATTTTACCAGCCAGTAGAATTTTTGTTCTATTGCACTGATTAAACTGATATATTGGATTGGAACAAAAGTTTGTAACATTTTTTTTTTAAATGAATTTCAAGGATAGTAATTAAATATTTCTACATAAATTTATTTAACCATATATGTGCCACTCTGTTCTAATACCCTTGAGAATCTTTGTGACAGCTTCATGATATACCATCCTTCCAGAACTTCACATCTTTTGGGTGATGAACTGGTCTAAAATGTTTTTTTACAGGCTTCCAGAGAATTTAAATGTTTTCAGGATTGAAATAAGTTGTAATCTAAAGGTGAAAGGTCAGGTGAGTAGAGATGATGTAGTTGAACATCTAAGTCAAATTGTACCAATTTCTATTGAGTCTGCAAAGTGACTTGAAATTTGGCATTGTCCTGATGGAAGATAAAATCCATACAGTTGACTAATTCTGGATAGTTTTCATTGATTGCTACCTTGAATCAGTTCAATTGGGAACAGTACATGTCTGATTTTACAGAAGAAGCTCTTAATATACCTTTCCAAACCCACTAAATATACAGCATCACCTTCTTCAGACACACTCTGACTTGTTGTTTTTCTCCACATTGTTGTAAACAATCCACTTTTAATTACCTGTGATTGTACTTTTAAAAAAGGGGTAATTTTTGCTGCATTTTAGCAGAGAGTTGCAGATGGAAATGCAATCCATTAAATTGTCAATCTTTTGCAGGTTATTTAAAACCAGAAAATATTTTTAGCTTGTAAGGATTTTTTGGCGATAATAATGATTTACTACTACAAGTCCCACTAATAAACTGATAGCTGGGTGGAGAGGAGATTCTCCAATTTACAATTCTGAGTCATTATCCATTACACTACTTGCATATCCAAGTATAAAGCACCTGATACACCCAAGCCGTCACCCATTTAGGTACTCACCAGGCACAACATTGCTTAACAAAAACCAGTGTTTCAATGTGATGTGACTGTAAGATCACAGATAATATAGAAAGACATGTTGAAATATCACCTTTCAGAATATATATATATACACTTATATATATATATATATATATATATATATATATATATATATATATATATATATATATACGGGGTGTATCAAAAACTTTTGCAAACTTTGATGGCAGGTTCCTCACACCAAAACAAGGACAAAAGTCTGTATAAACATTCAACCTTTGCTGCTAGTTATCATCATGTTACTGAGACAGGATCCATGGCACCACAAACTATAGATTGAGGAAGAGTGAGATCCACTCATACATCTGACCACAAAGAACACATTCTACAGGCTGTCAGAGATAATCCAGGTATTAGCACATGTCAAATGACCCTAGCATGTTGTACATCTCACAGAACTGTATGGAGGGTACTCCAACAGCAGCTCCTGTATCCATGTCATTTACAACGTGTGCAGGATCTTTCACACTCTGATCACTCACTACTGGAGAACTTTTGCCTATGGTTTATTGCACAAACTGCCTATCAATTGTTTGTCTTTTCAGTTTTGTTTACGGATGAAGCAACATTTGGAAGAGATGGAATAACAAATTTACACAACCAACATTTGTGGGTAGATCAGAATCCCAATGGTACAATACAGGCTAGACACCAGCATCAGTTTATGATTGAGGTGTGGGCTGAAATTGTACATGACTGTCTTGTAGGTCAATATGTTTTGCCAGCATGTCTTGCAGCATATGTCTACAGGGACTTTATTTCAAACACACTTCCAGACCTGCTAGAAGATGTACCCCTGCTAATACAAAGATGCATGTGGTTCATGCATGACGGGGCTCCAGTACATTTTAGTCACATTGTATGCAATGCAATGGCTGACATCTACTATGAAAGATGGATAGGTCGGGGAGGACCAGTTCCATAGGCTGCATGTTCTCATGACCTCAGTCCTTTGAATTTTTATCTGTGGGGTCACCTAAAACAATTAGTTTATGCAGTAGACATTAATAATATAGAGACGCTTCAACAATGTGTTATAGTGGCCTGTGAAACCACTCAACACCATGTGGGAGTATTTGAAATGGCCCACCTGTCAATATTTTAACAGGTGCATAGAAGCAAGCAGAAGACATTTTGAATATTTGTTATGAGTTGCTGTGTTGTGGTATGACAATGGCTTTTTGGACATATGTTTATATGGACATTTTACCTTGTTTTGGTCTCAGGAACTTGCCCTCAAAGTTTGTAAAAGTACTTTTGATGTATATGTGTGTGTGTGTGTATATATATATATATATATATACACACACATATATATATATATATATATATATATATATATATAATTATTTATTTAAAAATATGATTCCATCGCTACATAAGAGTTCTCATGTTTCAAAACAAGTGCCGAAAACTTCAATATAATTATTTGAATTAAATTGAATTAAAGTAACAAGGTCTGTTCCATCTTCAAGCAAATTTTTTTTGGAATAACTAATTCTTGAAATTTACGCGTTTTTATAAGCATATTCATTATTAAAATTAAAATTACTATGGTAATGGCTAGAGCAATTATTTAAAAAAAGGGGCGTAAGGGTTAATAATTTGTATCAATATCTCAGTTACATTCAAAAAAGGTCAAGTCAGGGTAAGATGTGTATATATATATATATATATATATATATATATATATATATATATATATATACACGTTGAGTGTTGGTGCTAATAGAATAGTGCCCAATGTATAATAACAGAGCTATAATTTATATTAATAATAGATATATATTTTTCCCTCAATGGTTACAAACTCTGAGTTTCATGTACAATGCAGTCTTTAGGTTCAGATTGTAAACTTTAATGAAGATTGAGTTGTGCTCCCAGTGAGGAAAATGTATATTAATTATCAAGTATGTGTGTGTGTATATATATATATATATATATATATATATATATATATATATATATATATATATAATGTCATAAATTTCAGTTACATATGAAATGAACTCCCGTTCAAATGCCAACTGTTGAAAAATGCTACAAACTTTTGTTCCAACACAATATTTAAGCATTAAGCCCGAGATATAAGGTGGAAATTACATTGATTTTATTTTGCTTTTATTGTAATTATCATTTGTTGCTAAGAAAGCCCTTTTTTGTTAAGTGTACTGTAAGCATATCTGAAAATATGATCATGGAAAATAGCATTGAAATGAGGAGCATCAACCACCTGTTAACCAGTTGATTAATGTTTTAACCTGAAGTCACAAGCTGTTTGATTTTCAATTCGTAATTGCTTAGACATTTAGCGTTTATTTTTTTTATGTGAAATATTTAATGTAAGGGAGATAACCAAGCTTTCTACCGACGTAAAAATTAAAAAAAATACTTTCTAATAAATTAGATTTAATTCTATTACTTATTGACGAAAGCCCGGTATTAATCTTACTTTATCTATTAATTGATTTCAATATATGCATTACATTATTTTAGATATGAACATAGATGTAGCTTTATAATTGTATATTTAATCTGTTTTGCAGTTTCTGCTCTTAAGTAAAGATAAAAGTAAAACAATATAGACTATTTTTGAAATGGTCCCTATTAAAAAGGCTTTCTGTCGCATTTAGAACAGGTGGGTGTTCTGTTAAATATCTACACCGAATAATATATATATATAAGAAAATCATTTTGTCTGTGAAGATGCAGGCATTATCATTGGTTGTTTTGTTAATTAAGTAAAAATAAAAGACAAATCTGTTATTTTTTACATTATCTTTTTACCATTTTCTTCCATTATCTTATGCCATCTCTCAGGCAAATTTATAATTTCATCTTCTCATAACGTTTTTTTTTTCTCATAAAAAATAAATGCGGTCATCGAGGAAATTAAAAAAAATTGTCTTTATTAATAAGTACAGTTCTGTAAGTCTAAAATAAATGGTTATTTGAAGATCCTATTGTGTGGGATATGAAGCATCAATCTCATTTAAAGTGAATGAATCATACGGCAACATAAATATATGAAAAGTTCAAACAAAACACAAATGTCTTTGTATAAAAACACTTGCATATATATATTTTATATTCAAAATTCTTAATACAAAGTTAGCATGTATCTACTTGCAAAAGACTATGTACCAAAAACAGTATGCATTTTTGTACTTATCTGTTTTGTTTGTTACAAGCCTGCCACATGAGCAGCCTGTTTCTAAGTTCACAGAGCAAAAAGAAAGAGATTATTTTCCCACCTAATGATGTCTTGTGCAGATTTTGTCAGGTCACGTGACTGGTTTTAATTCTTATGAATATTTATAATTATTTTCATTGTTATTTTTGCTTTGTCAAAGGGAAATAACTTTTTGTCTCTCACTATAAATCTCCCCACCTAGTAGCAGAGTCTAGTAGTAGTGATATTGTTTGTCTCTTTTCCAAGAAACATTTCTACCTGTTTTCGGATGACTAAGCTTACTATTAAATGTCTGTTTTCTCTCCCCATTATTATATCATCACTATGAGTTTGCTTTTCAGTTATTATTTGCTTATCACTTTTAGGTTCAATGTGTGGTTTTAATCTATCTATTAATATTGTTGACTGTATCTCATTGTTCATTGTAATTTTAAAGTATTTGTCAGTTCTACATAAAACTTGGAAGAGAACAGTGTAAAGAGCTTCCAGAGCCTTGTGAACTCTGTGTACTCTTAGCCATACATTTTTAAATGTCTTAAGCTTGTCAAGAACATATTGACATGATTTATTTACACAGCTATAATCTTTGTTGAATGTAAGGTATGTTGCAACTTCTTAGCAAACTAGCAACTGAGGAATGTTCTTCTGATTATCTCTGTTATCACTGGTATAATCTACTAGCAACTGAGGAATGTTCCTGTTCCTGTAATGGTAAAGAAGAGTTAAGTATTGGAAAAATTAGGTACTGCACAGATACCCATTAGTATTATCGGAAGGGCGTCCAGCCATGATTCCTTTTTTAGCTATTAATACTGTCTATGTGCATGTTCGATCATTCCCTTTATTTGTGGATAGTAGCTAGTAGATGGTAACTATAAAAGCCAATGATTGAGGCTATCTCTGAATACGATTCACTCTCAAACTGTGTACCACAATCAGTTATGTGAAATTCTTTAATGCACTAACATTATTTTGTGTAGGTCTAATAGTGTCAGAGCTAATATTATAACTCCCAAAAATCGATTGAAGTCACAGCAAATGTTGACTGTTATAAAATCCTACATGATAGTAATCTAAAAATTTCAATAACAATTGAAATTTTTAGATTATTACCATGTAGGATTTTAAACATGCTTATTTTAGCAGTGCCTTGTATTAAAGGCATTAATTCATCCGCCAGTTGTCCCAGTTGAGTTTAAATCTTTTTGTGTTGCTAATGCTGGGGTGATGGAAGCTGGTAATGCTTGTAAAAAGTTGTGTAACACTATGTTGTTGTCCATCTCTGTTCTTTTTGCAATTGACAACATTTCCTGAAGGTAAATTGATGGTCAACTTCTAATAATGGAGGTGGACATTAATTTATCAGTTCTGGCTTTGTTCATGTGTTTCAATTAAAGTCTTTTTTTTTTTTTAAATTGTCAGTATCTAAAATCTTGTTAGGTATTTTTGCAACTATTTCCAGAGGTAGAAATGTAATAACATTATAAAATTTGTTGATTTGTTGATTTGTGAAGTTACATTTCTCATGTAGAATTGAAATTCGATAATTGTGAACCAATTGATATTAGTTTTCATGAATTTAGGTTCTTAATTGTTATTTGTTGGGTAGTTGTCACATGGTGCTCTTGTTCCATTTTGTTTGTTTCTTTGTTTTGTTTTTTTTTCTTTGTATTATGTGTTATATTAGAATTTTCATCAAATATGTGATTATTAAAATGTGTTTTTTGTGTTTGTCGTGGGCACCAAATATGTTGTGCAGGATATGAAACCTCAACCTCATTTAAAGTGAATGAAGCATACAACAATATAAATATATGAAAAGTTCAAACAAAAACAAAAGTCTTCTTATAAAAACACTTGCATATATATATATATATATATATATATATATATATATATATATATATATTTCGTATTTGAAATTTTTAATACAAAACATTTATCTACTTGCAAAAGACTATGTACTAAAAACAATATGAATTTTTGTACTTATTTGTTCAGTTTGGCACAAATTTGCCATGTGTGCATCCAGTTTTTATAAGTTCATAGAGAAAAAAAGAGAGATTCACTTTCCCACCTAATGATGTCTTGTGTGAGTCTTGTTAGGTCATGTGACTGTTTTTAATATTTATAATTCATTGTTATTTTTGTTTGGTCAAGGAGAGGTAACTTTTTGTCTCTTGCTACAATCCAATATCTGCTGAATATTACAAACAAGGGAAAACTTCAAAATCAAGCTCTAACAATTTTTTTTCTGGCCGATATTGATATTTAAACTTTGTGCCAAAGGTCAAAGAGTTATCTCTTGGGATCCCTTTGACCTAGAGATATAGAATAGATACCATTCAATTTGTATCATAAAGCTCTATAAGAGTTTGTCTATATTTCTGAGATGAGGTACTATGTACATTATTTACATTATTCAGACCATTGTCCTCATCTTTGTCGCCATATTTATCACAACATTTTGTCTGTTGTATGCTCCGGCCTTCTTCAGGTGGTTGGAATGTCGAACTGAACCCTTTATTTCGCTCACTGGAGTAGACTGTTCTAGTTTCACGTGCCATGTTTGATGGATGTCAGTTATCAGTTATCTCCTGTTAATTTCCATCTGAAAGTTCTCCACTGCCTTAACCGGGTATTGAACTCACACTCTTTGGGTCCTGTCACTGGATCTAATGAATGCCTTTATCCACTCTGCCATGTGCCCTTACATGGCACAGTGGATAAAGGCATTCATTAGATCCAGTGACAGGACCCAAAGAGTGTGAGTTCAATACCCGGTTAAGGCTACATGGCACAGTGGATAAAGGCATTCATTAGATCCAGTGACAGGACCCAAAAAGTGTGAGTTCAATACCCGGTTAAGGCAGTGGAGAACTTTCAGAGGGAAATTAACAGGAGATAACTGATGACTGGTGACAAAGATGAGGACAATAGTCCAAATAATGTAAATAAAGCTCTATAAGTGTACCAAATTTGAAAAAAAATCTGTGTCAGTGATGATCAGACCCTTGTTGATTTGACATAGAATGACTCAAGCCATTCCCTGCTCCAGTTAACAGCAGATTTTAAGTCATATTTTAGATCAGTTTGACCTGATGCCATTAGGAAGGTCATTGATGAAAACCACATAGGAACCACATAGGTCCAAGGATTTGAGCCCTGGGGGACACCTGCATTAATGCAGTAAAATCTAGAAGAGTGGCCATTCAGGACAACTTTCATTTCACAATTTGATAGCAAAGATTGAATTGAATATACACAGTTCTTGGTCTGTGTTAAGCTTGACTTGGTTACCTGAATTGACAAACACCTGCTAGAGAGTGCAATGTCCAAAAAATTGTGATAACAACAACAAAAATGAGCATAATAGTTTGTAAGTAATGATAATTCATTATCCCAGAAATTCAGACAGAAAAATAATTAAGCTAGTACAAAGGATTATCAGAATGTTTTGACCTGGATATGTAACCTTTGTTTTATTGTTACTAATATTAACTGATTTCTTAAACAATTTCATTACTGTTTTAAAGAATAGAAAAACTGACTTATTTAAACTTTTTCTTGTAACAAATTAAGCTTTATGTCAATAACTAATTTTTTTATATATAAAATTTTCAGGCATGGTTAAATGAAAAATTTTCTCCAGAACTTTTGGAAGCTAAAACAGAAATTGTTGAATGTATAATGGATCAAATAAAAGTGATGGAAGAAAACTTATTAAAATGCAAAAAAGATGATATGAAAATTTGTATTCACAAGATGGAGGTAAGATGATACAGGTTGTTTTACAAAAAGTCACTAATAATGTTTATTTGTTATTTTTTGCATAATATTAGGGAAATGTTAGTGTCTTTAAAGTTTATGCAGTCAGTCAGATGAACCCAGCAGGTCTTACTCTTAAAGAAGACACTCCTTCATCAGGCCAACAACAAAAATGGGTATGAGTTGTATGTTGTAAGTTATGCTTACCAGCTTTTAGAATTCACAGCTGTGCATTGCAAGTTGTGAATATAGATTTTTTAGCCCTTTTGATCTATGCCCTACAGTATTTTTGACTTTGGACTTGTGAGATTGATTTATGATCTTGAGAATCAGGATCTTAGATTTTTATTTTTGACACCCATCCTTTGCTATTTTCTTACACATGTGTAATGAAAACTCAGTCTGTTTTGGCTTAATGTGCCTTTTTATGAACGTAACTGAAGAGTCCAGCCATTTCAGCCAAAACAGCATGACCTATACAAATCATAAGACAGGGGAGGTAATCGGGTTTTCTTACCACAATAGTTAAATACAAGTTTATTTTTATTAAATTAGTTTTACTTCAAATAAATACATACATTTACTATTTCTATAATACAACTCCTATACTTATCTTAATCAGGCTGTCTTATCACATTCTCCGGCTTTTTTTTTTCCTAGTCCGACACAAAATCATCCAGGTAACTGGGTCTCTTGACAATTCTCTGGGATCATCTCAGTGATAGTTGATCTGGACTTTCAGGTGTTATGGGAACAGTTGGCCAGAAGTATTTCATCTCATATTGTTTTTGTTTCCTTTTTGGAGTGGGATGCTCTGATTCTGAAAGCTGTTTATCAGAGTCTGTTGTAGTATACCCTAGTATATAGCTATTCTGGTGTCAATCTAAATCATTGCTATCAGGGCCTTGTTCCTCAGAAGAATCCAATGGCACTGTGTTGTCGTTACTATCAAGAGGGAGAGATATTGCTTCAGAGGAGAATTGCTCCTCCCTCTGGTTTGATAACTCACCAGCAGGGGCAAAATCTTTGAGGGGAAACATTGTATTATCTCCTGTTGGAGTGCTGGATGCACATATAAAGTGGGTTCACCTCAAGCATTTCCACTTTACTCACAGGAGAATCATATTTGCTTTGTCGAGCATGGTTTCTAAGTAAAACAGTATCTGGCTGTTAGAGCCACAAAGGGTGGGAGATCTCTGCTGAACTTCACCTTGGAAATTTTAAAAACCTTTCATGAGGTGTTACATTACTTCTTGTATACAATAGTGTTCTTATAGCATACAGTCTCGGTTATTATGTCTTCCCAATGTCTAATTGGAACGTTTTGGTTTTCAAGTGCTAACTACATGATCTTCCATAATATGCCTTTGTATCTATCTCTCACACTGTCCATTCCCTTGAGGATTGTATGGGGTAATCCGGATTATGACCACTCTCTATACCAATAGGAATCTACTTAGTTGATCAGACATAAAAGAGGTCCCGCGATGTGTATGAATATAAGCTGGAAGTCTGAATATTGAGAACAGTGAGCAAAGACAGCATATGACCATTGTTACACTTACATCTGGACAGGGAAAAGCAAAAGGGGATCATGAGTACTCGTCAATGACAGTAGATATTTGTTTTGGGATTTAGATGGAAGAGAGCCCTTAAAGTCCATGCTCAACCTCTCAAATGGCTATGTAGCTTTAACTAGGATTTTTGGTTTGGGTTTATAGAACCTTGGTTTTATTCAAGTTCAAATTTGACAAACATTTGTTATTTGTTTCATGTCCTCAACTGAAAAAGGCAAATTCTTGCTTTGAACCACATGCATCATCCTCATGATGCCTGGATGACAGAGATCGCTATGAACTTTTTGTATATCTTTGGTGCTGTGTATTGATCCACACACTCTCAACAGTGCATCTGCCATTGCATTTTCCTTTCCCAACCGATAGAAAATGAAAAACAAGAAATCTCTACTCTCCATCTCGCTATCTTTTCATTTTTTATTTTGCTTGATGTCTTGGGATTAAACATAAAAGAGGCTGACTTTTGGTCAGTGATTAATCTAAAGCAGTGACCAATTAAACATCACAATTTTTTTTTTTTTTTTAGTGCCTTGACTATGGCATAAGCCTCCTTTTCAACAGCTGAATGTCTGCACTCAGATTTTGACAATGTTTTGGTGAAGAACACTACAGGGTTCTTGGATATGGCTTAACATGGCAGCTATGGTGTGGTCAGAAGCATTGGTCTCTTTTTCTAGGGGAATTTCAGGATTCACCAAAGTGATGACTGAGTTGGCTGTATTTTTTTTTAACCCCTCAATGGCTTTAATGGCAGAAGAAGGTAAAGGAAATTTGGTAATTTTTGTAAGTGGGGGAATTTTTCAAAAAAGGAGGGTATCCATTAAGAATAATGAGTGAACATACCCATGGTTCATCACAAGGAAATAGGTAGTTTTTGCAGTGGTTTTAGCCGTTCAGTGTCAAGCTTCATGATTCCTTTACCCACAATATATCCAAGTAATCTGATGGTTGTTGACCCATAAGAACTCTTATCATGGTTGAGTGTAAGATTATATTTCTTGACAGCCGTCAAAAACCGTTTTAGGTTGTGATTGTGGTTAGCCCAGTCATGGCTGCATGCTGTCACATTATCTATGTAGGTAAAGGTGCCTTGTAATTTTTCTTCAAGAATTATTTTATCGAGAACCCTCTGAAAACTGGAAACCCTGTTAGTGATCTCAAACGGAATCCATCAGAACTGATAAAGTCGTCCACAGACTTCAAAAGCCATATAAAGATTATTTTTAGGGTCTATAGCTACTTGATGGTAAGCACTCCTTTGGTCTAACATGCTAAATATTCTGTATTTGGCGATCTTGTTTATTACCTAATCAATACAGGGTATAGGATATGTATCCAGGAGGGTGTACCTATTTATAGTTTGGGGGTAGTCTATGACCATCTGTTTTTATTATTATCAGAGGACGTTGTTAATGGTGATCTGCTTTCTTAGATTATTCCTTAACACTGTTGTTATTTCTGCTTTAATAAATGTTTTATCTTCAAGAGAATATTTTTGAGATTTGGTGGCCACCAGTTTACAGTTTTGATTAAGTTTTTGAAAAAGAAAGGGGTATTGTACATTTACAGTGGCCAAACCACAGATGTTCAATGCTAGGGGCCCCAAAAGGGAGATTAATATTAGAATGGTGTTTGAGGAAATCATGGCCAAGTATGTCATCGCAACACAGATTTGGCATCACAAAAAAATTGGTGTTAGTGTAGTTAGTTTGATTGAACTCTAGGCCAGCCAAAATATATCCTTTAACCTGTGAAGATAGTGAAGTATTCGCCATAGCCATCTGACTATTACAATGTACGATTTTAAATCTGTTACTTTTTGCAATATCAGTGCTAATAAAACTCTCTGAGCTTCCTGTGCTGACTAGACTATTCATTTCTACTCTGTTTATTTTTACTATTAATATAGCCTTTGAAAGATATTTAGGGTTTGCAGTTGATATGATACTAGTTGCAATGGGAGCATTCAAACCAGGTGAAGAAAAGCTTTATTGACAAACCTTAAAGAAATGTTCCTTCTTCCTGCACTTGTGGCATTTAGTTTCCCTGACTAGGCAATGACATGGGGTATCAAAAATGACAAAAATAACATTTTCATCTGAGATTTTGAACTGGCGGAAGTGGGGGCAGAAATGAGGAAGCCTGTCATAGAGGACTGTCTTTTTTTCCCTGTTTGGGTAATTTGAACTGTGAGTACTTAGTGCAGCGTCTGCAACACTTGTTTGTAGGTATGAACAAGATTGCTTTTCTGCCATCTCAAAGGTAAATGCCTGCTCGCAAGCAGTAGCTAAATCTAATTGTTTATTTTCCAGCAATCTTTGACGGATATAGTTTGATTCTAATCCATTTATAAAGGAGTATCTGATAAATTCATCCTTTGCCTGATCTGTTGTCATTGCTTGAAAGTCACAGTCTCAACTTAAGATTTTTAAGTACTGAAAATACTGTTCTAACCCCTTCTGATGATATTGGCAGGTAGTTGCGAATTCATGCTGGGCAAAGATTTTGTCTCTTCACAATAATTCCATGCAAAACATCCATGGCACTCTGGTGAGTTTTGCAGTGAGAAATATTGCTATATATGAATATGGAAATGTGGGGCATTAGCAGGTTAAGTCAAGCCTTATCAGTAATAGGAGTGGATGAACTGTTTTCTAGTGCAAGCAAGAATCCTTTTAACAATTGTTTCCTATATTGCTAGGCATCAGTAGAGGACAGGTCTGCAGAGTCCAAGTTGTGATGTCCTGATTTAAGGTACTTGTCTCTAATTACATTCAATAAATTGTAATGAAGACTTTGAGTCTAGTTCAGCTTAATGTGCCTTTATTTAACATAACTGAAGAGTCTTCCCATTTTGGTTAAGATGGCATAACTTATTTATACAAATCATAAGACAGGGGAGATAATTGGGTTATCTTACCACAAATGGTATGAAAAATAGATAAAATAAAGATGTTGCTTTCACCCCTACCTTAAACAAAAGGTTTGAAAGTAAACTCCCATTTATGCTAAAAAGTGCAATAACAGTGGACTTGAGAAGTCTAATTTCCTGAAAAACCATTTCAGAAAAAGATTCTATAAATTTCAACTAACTAATCAATGAATGTCAAATGTTTTCTGTATGATAATGTTCACCATTAGCAGAAAATAGCTAATGGTGAACATTATCAATATAGAATGCCATTTACAAACCTTAACAAAAATTCAGAAGCTAGAAAAATTGGTTCTTCATGAACTTCTGAAAACAAATGTTAATCAGTTTTATATGTTTGGGTTTAATTAAAATTTTAAAAATAGCTTTTTAAAAACAATGACAATGCCAAGTGACAGTAATAGCAGTGTCAAGAGAAAAAACATTCTTTTGACACACTTCTTTTTTTTTTTTTTTTTTTTTGTAGGTATGAATTTTAAACATTGCCAAAGTTTCATTTAGCAAATAAATGTAGAATTGACAAGACCAAAACATTTAATTTTTTTTAAGTTTCTAATTTTCTTTATTTTTTAAAATTATCATTGCTTTTTAGCTTGATCGAATCCGGTTTGTCCTTAGCAGCTACCTGAGGATCCGTTTACAGAAGGTTTGCCTTTTTTCCCTTTTTCTTAATTAAAACATTTTTTTTATAAAATTAAATTTTTGCATAATTTTTTTAAAAAAATCTCTTTAATCATTTGTAAAAAAAAAAAAAAAAAAAAAGTTTTGATAACAATTTCATTTTATTATAGTATTAATGTTTTTGCAAAAATCTTTTTCATTGTCATGTATATCTTATTGGTCAGAATTATTTATTTATAAAATTTCATCAGAAAGGTTAAATAAAAATTCTTTTGTTACTCATTAAATTTGAAAAAAGGTGATTTTGTCATATTGGTAAGTGGCACGTTCATTATGAGTGAATCAAAGTCTGGTGCGTGAATTTATATTTCATTATTAGCTTTTTTTTTCCATTTTCTTTTCTGATAATTCAAAAAGTAAAAATAATATAATTTTACTCATATATAAATAAATCTTTTATCTAAACTCCTTGGGAGGAAACAAATTCAGAATATTAGTATACACATGTTGTACTTATAGTGTGAATAGTTACCAGCTCAGAAAATGAAATTGGCAAGCTGAGTTCAAATTCCAGACTAGTCTGTTACGTTCACTTTGACATAAATGTCCTTGGGAAATGCATGAATCCATCTGTTCTCCTCAGAGATGATAGAAGTTTGCGATGACTGAGACAGAATTTTGATTTTGGGACAGTTTCAAATTTTTTGATGACAATGGTGAAAAATTTTAGCCCAGGTGTTAGGTCAAATTTTAAGTCCCACTCAACATATTTGCAGTATAACCACAGGTAAGCTCTGTGGCTGTTGAACAAATGCAAATGTGTCTGAGCAGGTATCTGCAACAGGGATTACTAGTTATCCTAGCAGACAGGAATGCTCGGAAATGAGTAGCCAGCATTTATATTTTTATCTCATTGTTGTGCAAACCTGGATTAGTTTCATATACAAAAATAAAATAAGGAATACACAAGCATTTTCTAATGTCTGCTCTCTTTTATATTTCTTTTTCTCTATATTTCCATAAATAACAATAGCTTAGAGGATTAAAACATTGGTTTGTGAATTTGGTAGTATAGTAATTATGAGTTCAATCCCTGAGCTGGGTAGTACAAACTCAGACTCAATGGAAACGAGCCTAGTAGTAATAGAGAAGTAGTCAAAAAGAACATTACAAAATATCTCTAAACATGGACAACAGAATGAGAACAATGTACCCTGTAGATTAAATAAAGAGTTCAATTTAAAATTCCCTGAAGGTTACCTGGATCAACAGACACCTGAAGAAGACTGAAGGGCACAACAGCTGAAACATTGTGATAATAACAACAAAGGTAGTCTTAATGTAAATAATAACTCCTCTTTCCAGAAATTCAAACAGAAGAATTTTAACGTATTGTAATTTTTATACCTTTCCATCTTTTCCTGTCTTTCGATCATTATCTCTTGATATCCAGCCAGTAATCCCATCTTTGTCTTTCTTTCATTTCCATGATTTTTCTTTTCTATATATGTATACAAGGGGTCCTTAACTTAACATTTCTTTAAAATTGCATTCATTCATTTTTTATTTTTTTTTATGTATCTCTCATAAAATATTGATTGCCATGTATTTGTCTGATTTTTTTTTTTTAGATCCAGAATTACACAGCTTATTATCTTAACATTGAAAACCAAAGAACAGATAAACAAGCATCGCTTTTTTCACCTGAAGAACTCAAATTTGCTAAAGAGTAATTATTACCTTGATTTCCTTTTATCTTATTTTCTGAAATTCTTTTATTTACACCAAAAGGATATGATTTAGGATTGTACCTGTAACTTTGAAATAAGTATTTGATATGAATTGCCAAAGGATTTTGAATTAAGTACTAATTTAAGACTTTGTTTGTCCTTGATACAGTTTTGTGTAAATATTTTCATTTAAAATCTTGCTATAAAAATTGTTTTTTAATCATCATGCTGATGACCACTCTCAATTTCTCCAATTATTAGTGTTAATATTCTAATTAATATTTTGCATTTGAATCTATACTAGAATATGACACTGTTCTGAATATTAAAAAAAATGATTTTTCTAATGCTTTATTTTTCATTATTTAGATTTTTAAGTTTATAAACAAAGTTTTAGTCAGAATATATATATATAATAAAAGTGAATGTCAGTGTTTCACACTTCTTCAATTAAAGGGACACAATTCTCAATACCTCATCTTTTTCTATATAATGAATGGTAATGTCAGTGTGTCACACTTTTTCAATTTATGGGAATCAACTCTAACTTTCAATAGCTCATGTTGCAGAAATTTTGGATTCCCAAGTTTCCATTATTGTAATTGTGGTTTTTGGCAATTTTTTTTTTTTTTTTTTTTACATTGACAATTTTTATAACTTGGACTGCAAAATCCAGTGAAAGTCACCTATGAAATAAAAATAATTGTTTGTACAGAAAACAAAGACCTACACACATCAAATTGTTTTAAATTAAGTTGTAGCAGAAGAATTATCATTGAGCTTTTAAAAGATACGCTTAAATATTAATGCAATACTTAAATGCAGCGATAAATTTTATTGCTGTCTGTGGCATACAGTAGCAATATGTCTCACAAAAGAGCCAAGGCTGCAGTGAGGAAAAGAAAATCCCGAGCAAATGAAAACCCAGATCAAATGGCAGCCAGGAGAGCTTTCAATACTGAGAATATGCAAAGTCTTAGGGACTCTCAAAAAACTCCTGAACAAGCCAAAGGCCTAATCAAGAGCTCTCCATAGGAGCTAGCTTAAACACCACCCAATAGGGCAGCTTTTAAGCTATTATATATATATATAAGTGAACATTAAAGTCAACACTCAGAGGCGACAGGCTAATTCATGTTGGATGTAATCGTCAACGATTACGTCCAGCATGAAACAGCCTGTTGCCTCTGAGTTGACTTCAATGTTCACTTTTATATTTATATTTACATACACTCTATCTCTGATATTGAGCAATTTATCCCATAAAATAGCACACCTTTAAAACTATATTTCTTCATTATATATATATATATATATATATATATATATATATATATATATATATATATATATATATAAATAACAAATCAATAACACTTATCAAATGTCAAATTACTATAATTTAATATATTTCATGGTAAGCAGAATTTTGTCAAGAAAGTGCTCAATAGAGAACTAGAGTGACAATAGTCAATAAATTAATAAAGGTTCAAATAACTTGTCTTTTGACCTATCTCAATGTTTTACACACTAACTGGTGTCTGTAAAGTTTTGAAATCATTTGAAAGATAAGTCATTTGAATCTTTATTAATTTATTGATTTTGCATAGATATATTTTCAGATCTGAAATTTACTTGAGTGTAGTTAAGCACTATCACACGATTTCCAGTTTTTTTTTTTTTTTTTTTTTTATCTTTGCAATTTTCTGTTTTCCAGATTTCATTCAAGTATTGATAAACACTTGACAGAATTGGCTATGCAGCACATGCCATCCATATTGCAAAATTTAAATGATAATCTTTCTGGTAAGAATTTAATACATTTGTCTTTGATTTGCACTAAATCTTTAAAATAATATTTAAAGTTGTTGACTCTGTACTGTCAAGAAGACGTACATGGAAATGGTTCTGAGTAGTTGTCTAAATACTGTGGTTATTACTTATTCATCTTTGTAAATATCTAAGACAATTTGGAAAAGTCTTTATTTTGATACATTTCCAAATCGATGGAACATGTCAAAATAAAACAAAATTTTCAAAATTGTCTTTTATATTTACCATTCTGTCAGATTTTCATCCAAATTTAAATCATAACCATCTTGCTCACTGATACAATTTCAAGTTGAATTTCTTGAAAGAAAGCTATATATACTTCTATAGGTACCACCAATAATTTGTTAAAAATCAGTATAGCATAATGATAAAAGGCCCCAAACTTAATAAAAACAAAGTTTTATCATCAAAATGTTTGTTATTATTAAGAGGAAAGAACAAAATATTTTTTAATGATTTTTAAAAAAATTTTCTTTCTTTCTAACACGTATTAAATTTGGGTAAAAAATCTCTGGGTTTTTTTTTTTGTCAACTTTCTACTACTTGTGGTAATTGACATTTTAGTGTAGCAGTTTCCGTGGGGGGGGGACCATTAATTTGGAAATTCTTGCAAAAATCAAATAATTGTCTGATTTTAATGAAACTTTCAGGACTTATTCAGAAATGAATGAATTTATTTTTTAAACTTTATTTTTAGAAAATCTTGATAAAAATATTTTGTTTACATCTGTTACCACCCACCCCATAAATTAATTTTATGAAATTTTCTAGAATTTCAAACAGTTCACAAATTGTTTTATATTACTTATAAGCAGGACTCCTTGGAGAAATTAAATCCTCAATTTTTTTTTTTTTTTTTTTTTTTACAACTACTGCTAACATTTTAAAAATGTGATCCAAATCATAAAATAAAAACTGCAATAAAACTATCTAATTATTGAATTAGATAGGCTTTTATTTGCTTTTATAAATAATATACATTAAAGACATTATTATCTGAAGAAAAAAAATTTTTCAATGAATAAAAAATTTTTACAAGAATTGTTTGCATTTCTCTGTTAGTTTTTTTTCATTTTTCATTAATTTTAAAAAATGTTTTAAAATTCTTAGTTTTTAAATGAAGATTATATTTACTAAGCAAAAATTAAAAGCTTAATACAAATCATGCTACCAAAACTTTTTACCATAATTAAAGTTTTTTTTTTTTTTTTTTTTTGTGCATCAAAATGTTATATTTTTTTTTAGTATGATATTTCGTAAGTGACATTATGGTTAAAAGGTCACGTGTTTCAAGGCTTGTCTCCTCCTTAGGGAAAGCCCCTTGATATATAAAAGTCTTCGGCTTATCTCAATCTCAGTTATTAAATTAAAAATTAAATTTAAACAATTAATAACTGAGTGAGATATTTTAATTATTAATATAATAATAATAATTTTATTAATTATTATCTCAGTTATTAAATTAAATATATAATAACTTAATATAATATTAATAATTAATAAAATTATTTATCATTATCTTAGTTATTAAATAATGAAATAACATAATAGTGGTAACTCAATAATGTAAGAAATTTTTATAGTATTTTAAGTTATTATAAGAAACAAAAAAAAACATTATGTCAATTTTGGTGCATTGTCAACACATTCATCCACCAAATTATCGATGGAGATGTGAAAATAACAATACACCGAGGTCAAGAAATGTTTATCTAGAAAATTTTATGCTATAAGTAAGTGATATTTGTTTCAGAACAGATTAATTTAACTTTAAATTTGCTAATTTTATGAAAGTAACATTTCAGAAATGTATATCTTATTTTAGCAGGATTTTCAAAAAGGAAAACATAATTTATGTCTAAATTTCTCTAAAAATGTTAAAAATGGATATTTCGATTGGTTTTTCAGAAGAATCAACTAAAAATCATTCAAATTTCCATTTGAAATACTCCACAGTCCTTTTTTTTTTTTTTTTCTGGAATTAGAAAATGTAATCATTTAGCTTTCAATTGAAGCTGGAGGAAAACTTCGAAAAGGATTTTTCCTTTATGAAAAATACATTTAAACGTTAGGTATACAAATTTTTGGAGTTAGTTTTAAGGTATCCTATATTTATGGGTAAATATTCTCAATATCAAGGATAGAGTGTATGTAAATATAAAAATGGATACTGAGGTTAACACCAAGCGGCACCAGTTTATACGTGCTTGAATCTTTAGGCCACGCACACACACACACACACACACACACACACACACATACATACATACATACATACATATATACATACATATATATATATATATATATATATATGAATCTTTTGTTTTAATATTAGACATTTAAACTGTTAGAATATGAATTTATACGTAATCATTTCTGTTGAAGTTTGTGTATTGAAAAAGTCATGTATGCACGACTACATATGCAAATTAAATGTATGGTCCTGCTCATTCGGAAATTTCATTTTTTTCTATATAAATAAACCTGTATTTTGATATATTATTCTTAATGCACACACTACTGCCCATAATACTTGTGGTTACTACTAATATGAACTTTCAGGCTGTAGGTCCATGTCTCATCTATTATTTGACGAAAGCAAATATGAGTTATAGAAAGTGAAAATTCTAAGATATATGAAACTTCAGAAATTAGTTATTTTACCAATGCAAAATCATCCAGTCAATGAAAATGACAGAGATAAACTGCTGAAGTTTAGTTCTCTTGTTATTTGTGATGCTAACGGTAATGACAGAAATACGTAAGGTCAAAGCCTGACAAAAACTTGTCTCAACAAGAGTTATTATCAGTGTGAGAATTTGAAAATTCTTGTAGTTTAAATGTTATTTACAAAAATACAGCAAAATTGTAACAAAATTTACTGACTACACCAACACAAAATAGAATTAAATTTTAGGCCATTGTAACATGAAAAATATAATCAATTATTTAGATTTTGTTGAAGATATGAAAATCAAAATTATTTCTCAGCAAAATATTTGGTAGTGAATGTAAATAATAAATACTGAAGAATCCTACAGATATATATATTAATGAATCTGATAATATATGATAGAACAAAACAATAAAATTCTTAATCAAATATCAACTGTTTTGTATTCTTCAGGAAACAAACCAGACTTGGACTGTTATGTTTTCCTCAGAGTTAATGAAGATACTGATAGTGTTGTGATTGATGAAGAGACAACAGAAACAGGGTAAACTTTGACTTTAATTTATTTATATGATTTTTGATAAAGGAAGGAGGTAAGATTGTATGGAAACATGAATTATATATGGGAATCTATTAATAAGTCCACAGCCTGAAATAATTATTAGTTGAATTTCGAACTCAATTTTTGCTGTATAATGATTAGTCTATATAATCTATGTAATAAATGCGAATGTCACTGTGTCACACTTTTTCAATTAGAGGGACACAACACTCTAACTTTCAATAGCTCATGTTACAGAAATTTTGGATTCCCAAGTTTTCATCACTGCAATTGTTTTCAACAATTTACATGATTTTTTGCAACAAATATTTTGTATGATAACAATTTTTTTAACTTGGGAATAATTTTGTGAATAATCAGAATTAATTGCAAAATCCAGTGAAAGTCACCCATGAAATAAAAATAATTGTTTGTACAAAAAGTAAAATTGTCTTTAAATTAAGAATTATCATTAAATTTTTAAAAGGTAAACTTAGATATTAATGCAATACTTAAATGCAGCAATCAATTTTGAGTTCTTCTGTAGTTTATTGCTGCCTATCGCATACAGCAGCAGTATGCCTCACAAAAAGAAATCCCCACCAACAAAGAACCAGATTGCAATCAAAAGACCCAAGGCTGCAGTGAGGAAAAGAAAGTCCCATGCAAATGAAAACCCAGATGAAATGGGAGCCAGGAGAGCTTCCAATGCTGAGAATATGCAAAGACTTAAGGACTCACAAACTCTTGAACAAGCTGAAGGCCCAGTCAAGATCCCTCTACAGGATCTCGTTTAAATGTGGCCTTATAGGACAGCTTTTAAAATAGTTAATAATAAAATGATAAGTATATTAACAAAGGAGGTAATTGTTAAAAATAAATATTTGTTGTGTCAAATACATGGTTTTTTCCATCATTAAGCTGTGGACTTATTGATTTAACCTTTAGCATGCATTATTAATATTACTTTCCATTCCACTGCATTCTTTTTCAAGGCCTCTCAATTGCAGTAACCTTATTGTTAATTTCACTCAAAGTTGTTTTCTGTTACCATAGCAGGATATGACAACACAGCTATGAAATTCAAACACAATATTGTTCAGGGACCAGTCACTTTCAATGGCAGGATACATTTTTTGTACCAAAAGTGAAGTCACATACAGCTATGGGTCTAACCAACATCTTCATCTTTTAAGATGTTGGTTAGACCCAAAGAGTTGTGAGTTCAATACTAGGCTACAGCAGTGGTGAACCAAAAAACTTGGAGAGTTGAGTTAAAGGGAAATAACAGAGACATCCGGAAGAGACATGGTGCTAGAACAATATACCCTGGTGGATAAAATAAAGAGTTCGGTTTGAAATTCCAATCACCTGGATTAGGCTGGAGTGTACAGCAGCCGAAACATTTTGAATATGGCAATGAAGATGTGGATAACAGTCTGAATAATGTAAATTAATCTGTTATTTTTCAACATGAAGCCTATTTAATTTTGTTTGCCTGGGACATGTAGTTACCTTTTTAAATGATTTCAGTTTTATTGGGGGGGGGGGGCACCCTGTATATTTACAACATGAAACAGTTACAAATGGATGTTTTGTTTTTATTTCACAAATTCAACTTTAATTACACTAGTTAGTCAGATTTAGGGAAGTGGGTCAAGCTGAGATCTTTTAAGCACACTCTCAAATAGTAATAGCTTTTTACAGTTCTGGAATGGTTTTATTTATGTTGTTTAGGTCAGGAGTCAGCAATCTTTTGGAAAGAGAGAGCCAGATAGCTATGCGGTATCTCGGAGGAGGACCATGATATTAAATGTACTATTATAAATTGTCTCAACTTCAGACCACTCCATCCAGAAAGCTGCCTTAGTTTGGAGGTTTAAAGAAAAAACAACAAAATTAATGTTCTAATATTTAAACAAGGTTCCTTGTTTTACTCTAAGAATAACAGGATAACAACTAACACAATCAACAAAAAATGCAAATTCCTTACTATGATTAAGTTGGTGGGCCAGACAAAAATCCTCCCACAGGTCATATGTGGCTCAGGGGTTGCTGAACCCTGGTTTAGGTAGTGAAGAAGAAAGAGTTCAGATCTTAATATTTCAAATGATTATTATCTATTTTCAGGACTTGGTATATTCTTTTTCACTATGTATGTTTTGTTTAGCTTTCATGACTATATTGAAGAGTGTGTTAATGAAATACTCCAGTAATATTTTGTTTGGATTTAACTTGATATACTGATTTTGAATATAAAAATTACTAAGTTGAAAAGTTTGAAAAATATTGTGTTTTGATTATTTAATTTATAGTACACTCTATCTTTTCCGATATTGAATTTTTTTTTATAAGTTTTCTTTCTTTATATTTTGTTTTGTACTTGCTTTATCAAGGGAGTAGAGTTGAAGTTTAGACAATAAAATATTGATTCATTAAATTAAAAATTACCAGCTTGTGCATGTATGTGAATATATATTTGTTAATTTTATTTTTATCTCTTTTTAGGGAAGAGACTGTTGACTTTCAAAAAGATGAACAACATATAATTCGATATCAGCCAATAAGACATTTAGTTTCTTCCTCTCAATTAACTCTGATCTGAGAGTGTTGTTTTGTTTTTGTTTATTTTTCTTACATTTTTGTTTATTTTATTCATTTTTTACAAATAAAATGTGGTTGGAATCTCCTGTTTCTATTATTAAAAATATTTTGGATAATATTTTTATTTCTTCCAATGGAATTGGAATGATGAAATGTATCTGCTTGAATTGAAGCAGAAAAGATGTTGAACTTATGGTGGAATAAGAATCATAGTTATTAACAGTTGTCACTAATATGGAAGTTCACCAGTGTTGAAGTGAAAAAGTAAAGTATGTTTGGGGGAAAAGAATAACTACTAATGAATAAGTTTATTACACATTTTAAGCTAACATCATGTTGACTTAATAAGAAGTCATATTAAATTCACTATATTAGTGTAGGTTTAGTTGTAGTAAGTTGATATGGTCAGTTCACAAGAGTTGGTGAGTGTTCAATTAGAGGTTAGCACAGTGGTGAAGTTTTGACTAAAAATGCTAATGAAAATATTTGAAGTTTAGCAGAGATATTGCAATCACCCAAAACACTGTATATGGGATGAGAATTTTGAAAATTAGCAAAACCAGATGGTGGGATGGCATATGCATGAATTGCTCATCTAGCTGTGAGAAAACAATGAAGGCTTTAACTAAGAGAAAGTTCTGGAAAAATAACTTTACTTTCTCCTCACAAATAGCTTACAAAAGGCAAGTTCTTTTCATGCACAAGTTCACCACTTTTATCTACTTTTACTGACATCAATATGATTCAATCTTTTCCTACCTCATGTAATCTTTATCTTAAGTTAATGTTTCATAGATTAAACCATCAAAAATGCTAATTCAAGTAAATCCTCTTCAATTGTGTGTTTCATAGCAATATTAAAAACATTGTTATTTTCCCTTAGATTATGGATGTGCAAGTGGTGTAATATATAGCAGCTTAGCATAGAAATCAGAGAATCTAGTTTGAATTCCAGTCAGGTTCATTACATTTACTTACATGTGTGGGGTCAGTCTACCCAAATTTTAAATGAGAAAATAAAATCCATGTGTTGTGTCCACAAATATAACACAAAATAATAAATGAGGCAAAGAAATGATCTTTGCAGAAAAGGAAGAAGACCAAGCTAAATATAGCAATAACATTTATACAGTAGATACATATATTTACATATTAGAATTCAATTGTCTTTGTTGTGGCCATGAAGAGACCAGTAGTTTGAGTGTTCAAAATGATTTGTTGCAAGTGAGTCTACAAAGTTTGAAATGATGGGTACACCAATATGTGTGTGTATGTGACTGCTGACTCTGTGTGATAGAAGTAATTTTAAAACACAGCAAACAGAGAGGATATGAGACTTACTTTTGTTGTGGTATTGTATGTAGAAAAATCATTGCTGACATATGCATTTTCATTGGTAATGTATGTCTAAGTTGTTGATCAAGGCTGGGTGGTTTGCTGACTGTTCCATTTCAGATATGGTCACTGACTATGGCTAGCAAGCTACTTTTATGGCTTATGGGAAGCTGTTGACTGTACTACATGGAAATGTACTAAGACAAACCCTGACCTATTTCCAGTTCATTTGAAGTTCAACCACACGAATGTCGTAGAGAGAACATCATGTGACTTGTCATATCCAATCAGGTTCCAGAAACCAATTATTTAATTTTGGAGCCATGTTTGTACAGCATTGTAATTTTTTTTGTATCTATTTAATTTAATAAGATTTATTTGTAGGCATCTATTGTTTGTGCTTCATTTATTGGCCATAAAATATAGGAGTTTATATCCTATAATGCAAATGCCCTCTGGAAAGGTATAAATCTGTCTACTCCCTCCAGCTATGAGTTATATAAATTTCCCAAAGACTTATTAAGCCTTAAAAAAAAAGACATCAATCTACCTTCCCCAGATTACAGAGGTAAGATATTGTTACATATGTACATGACATCCAATAAGAGGATTGAGTGCAACAGGGTAACGACCCTGAAATTGATGTTTCATAAACAAACAGAAAATTAAAGCATAGTTTGGCAAAATCAACTCTGGCTTCAGGAGGGTATGAAGCCCTAGACCAGAAATTGGAGATGAGAAGTTATGTTGATAGTTGATGAAGATTAATGTATTTTCAAGTGCAGACTAGTGTGGAATGTCTTTCAGCCACAATGTGGTTGGTGTGCTGATAGGTGGCACTTGGATATGTTTTTTATAAATCCCACCTGGGTGTTCACAGTATTTGTTTGAAAAGGGTTAGTACAAGGTTTGAAAACTGGTAAGAGTAAAAGAGAAACCAAATGTCTCTTATCTGCAACAATTGCCTGCAATTTTGATAATTATCATTATTTTGGATTTCTGGCAGGGAATCCTTCACTGGTGGGAGAGCCACGTGGTTAATTTACAGAAATAATGAAATGTGTGCTATGAGCATTGTAAATTGTCATTTTCTGGAGCCTGATGAGGTAAAGTGAAGTCATTAATCATTGTTGTTGGAAAAGATTTCCCCATATAAGCCAGCACACATTTTGCTTGGCAGTCATTTTCTATGTGGGGAGAAAGCAAACCAAATTCAATGACATGCCCACATTTTGCTGAATACACAGGCATAGTGGATACAGAGAAAACACTCCAGCATCATTTTGTAGAGGTTAGATTCTGTAGACTTATTTTTTCTCTTCACATTAAATTCTAAGTTTACAAAACATGTTTGGCTCATTTATCTAAGATCTTTCCTCCTCCTCAAGCCAACCATAAAAACTTGACTTTAACTAGCAACCAGAAGTGAAGGGTTACCACATTTTGTTCAAGATCAATTTCATTGATTTTCTACAGGGACACAACAACAATTTGGGTCCAACCACTGATGATCACTGTCAAATAGAGAAGTGGAACTAGGAAAGGCTTAATCTTTGTTTAAGTGAAGTAGGACAGAAACTTACTGGCCTTGTTAGCACTTGTTCTTGGACATGATGTAGTTGGCTGATACTGACAAATTACCCAATCCACCTGGTTACATCTAGTGCAGCAAACCAACTAGTTGTAATTACTGTGACAAGGAGCTAACCACACCGCTGAGCACCCTGTCACATGTGCACGTGAGCCACTAACTCCACTAACAAGACAAGCTGTTTGCTAAGTGGTTCTAAAGCAATTCCCTTTACTATACACTGATATTGTGTTTTTTTAAGCTATGAAATGTTAATGGACAAGAATGTTACACATGGTTTCATGACATCTCTTGAACTGCAAGGGCCTTGCAGTTGGAAGTACTACTTGCAAGTTGGAAAAATATTAACATTGGCATCTTTCATCTCTCTACCATTCAACTGCCTTCTGTACCAACTTTGTCATTATGAAATAAAATAAGGTAGCATCATTGATGTACACAGATATGGATAAAGTTCAACTAGCTCGGTTTGTTTTGAATAGTAGTATAAAGTATGAGTGAGAGAAGACTATCCTGCCAAACCAACCACAAAATATTAAAAGGTATTGATCACTTGCCATTCACATGTATCACTGTAGACTAATTTAAATATGGGGTTCTGGTTTGAATCCAATGGCCTCCTGCACAGCCATCAAGGATAAATGACCAAAATTTCAGTGCTTTGAACTGATCTAAATTTTGTCAAAGTGTGTCCCATGGCCTCCAGCAAGACCACTAAGAATCATTAGTGTACTGATGAAAATGAACCTTGGCATAACAACAAATATGTAAAATAAACATTTCTTATATCTTTCTGTTTGGACTAATATACTCATTTTGGTTAATATACTCACAATATTTCAATTATCGTACTTTCTAGCCTTCTCTATCATACATACTAAACTTCTCAAAATTTTTAAACAAAATCCTTTATTCAGTCCACAGGATAAAGTGTTCTCATTACACTTTGTGTTATGGGGATATCTTATATCGGTTTTTTGCTTTTGTGTTGCTTGCTTGTTTCTTCCACTGTACAAGAGTATGGCTTTTCAGCAATACCTACCCAAGAGATTGAACTCACAACTTCCAGAGAAAAAGAGATATTTTAACCAATGGTTTAATCCACATAGCCATGTGTTTTGTGTAATTTTGAAGCTTTAAACTGAATGTTGGTACTCAGGTTGTGGAAGTTTTTAGCATACTATTTTAAATAGAACAGCATGTAATAATGATAATTCCTCATCTTAAAAGGCATTTCTTAGTTATGCATTTAATTTCTTTCACCTTGGTATTAGAATTTATGAGACAACTTTATAGGATTTTATATATAATATATATATCTTCTTTTATGTGCAGTGTCCTTTCAAAACATAAGCAATTATGGCTCTCCACTTCCTGTCCCTTATAGCTCTCAATAAGTTTTGTCTTTTGGTTATTTCTCTTAGACGCTGTTCCATCTACTTGCTTAAGCCTGTTAAGTATGTCATGCATTGCTTTTCCTTGTCCCTCTTTCCTTCTATCTGCCTTGTGAGTATCAAATTTTCCAAGCTCTCCTTTCTGATTATGTGTCTGAGAAATTTCAGCTGCCTCTTCCTGATGTTAAGTATAAATTTCCTCCTTGTTTGCATCATCTCCAAAACCTCATCTTTGCTCACATGTTCAGTCCATGGTATTCTTAGCATCCTTCTGTAGAACCATGCCTCTTTTGCTTCAAGTCTCTTCTTCACCCTTGAGGATATTGTCCAACATTCGCTATTGTAAAGGAGTAAAGCTATCATGTAGCAGTTCATTACTCTTTTCATTGTTATCAATGAACCCCTCCTGTCTCTTAATATTCTGCCTAACTTTTAGAATGAATCTTTGACCATCCAAATGCATCTTTGGATCTCAGTCACACTCTCTGTCCTACCTGCTTGATTATAGTGTCCCCAATCTGTAAATTACATTTCATCTTCATCTTTTTGCTGATGACTATGCATTCTGTCTTGTAGTTCATGATTAGTCCCTTCTTCTCACTCTCCTTCACAACCTTTTATACAAGGTTTTGTAATTTCCTTTCTGTGTCTGCTATCAGCACTGTGTCATCTGTGTATCTT